TTTCAAATCCTTAAGGCAAGTTATTATCTACTTTTCCCCTTTGAATCAATAAATTAATCATTTAATTTATTTCGGCTATTTAAAGGTTATAAATCATGCTAGGAATTTTAATAAATTAATTTTTAGTTTACTAAAGTAGTGAAATTTTAATTATTTAGGGTGTTTGATATTTGTTTATTAACCTATGTAATTAAAATATAGCTAAAAATAATTATTTAAGGCTTTAGGGGCTTTTTAGAATTTTCTGGAATTTTTCGAGAATTTTCTGTAATTTCAGCGGGGAAGAGGACCGGAGTAATCCGGTGTGATACGGCACACTGTAGTTAGTGTGCGCATGGATCCAGCGGCCGTTAAAGGGGTATTTGATCATCAGATCGATTCAGTGTAGCGCAGTACACAATATTATGGTACGCGCAAATTAGGACCCGTTAGATTAAAGGATGATCATCATATCGATCCAGTAAAGCGCGTCCACAGAAGTCTGGTACAACAGACTAATTAGAACACACCGCGTCAGCAGGAAGCATCAGCACGCCTGTGGCAGCGCATGGCAGACTCCAGACACGTGTAGAGGTGCGTGTAAGCGCGTGTGTGAGTGGGGAAAAGGTGGCAGTGCGTAGGGAGGCTTTGGGCGGCGCGTAGGGGGGGTGTGGGACCTCTGCAGCTGCTTGAAAGGTCCAGAATACCTATAGGGACTATTTTATAATTTCCAGAATCTTAAACTTTCATTTTTGGGCCTATGGTTGGTATTTACGAGTTTCACGGGATATTAAATTATTATTTTATTACCCGTTAATTATTATCATGTCCGATTAATATTTCTAAATATTAATTGTATTGTTTCCAGTGCGGATCGCAATTAAACAAATGTAATTAATTTAATGATATTGTTAATTATTAATTGTGTTATTATTAAATGGTTTTAATCATTAATGTTAAATTAAATGATTGCATGATTTTAATCGTATAAATTGTCTATTATACATTATGGGATTATTTATGTTGTTAATGAAATATAAATCATTATTATTATGCTGTGTGCATTTCAGGTAGTTAAGTGGACTGATTAATAAATTAAGTCGCATTTATATTACATGGATGTGTTGCCATATAGAATAATGTGAGTTGACTAATAAGTTTAGATTCATTTATACCTTATGCATTCGTTGCCATAAACAGATGTGTGATGTCAGGGTATGTGTATTAATATTATTGGCATGTGTTGCCTAAGTGATATGCGCAACATATTCATTAGTACCTTGAGAGTTGAGATGTGTTCCCACTGTGTAGAACTTATAATATACTGTGTATAAATAGCCGATTCCCCAAGTAGGGAAAGGAGACACTCAACCACCTCGTGTGAGTCTAATGACTAGTTTAGTGTGGTGGAACTGAATAAAAGAAAGTAGAATGGAATGGTTTTTTTTCCATTCTCGTGTTTGGTGCCAATTTTAAAGTTGGAATCATCATTCCCCACTATTCTTGCAGAATGCCCATTCCATCAAAATCATTCCACTTTTTAACAAAAAGAATGACCATTCTATTCTCTTCACATTCCATTCTCATTCCATTCTAATTCATTCCATCACACCAAACTAGTCCTAAGTGATCACCGTCTATTCTGGTTGAGGTCTTATTATACATTGTGTAGTTTCATTAGGAAATATACAGATATAGTATACTTCCGAATAATAATGAATAATTTATTTGATTCTCTGATTTGGGTCATATTAGAGAGAACTTGCTCGTGAGTTTGACCTACCATTGTTGTTATTTCAGAAACTTATCAGTACCCGTTTCAAGGTTGAGGCTTAGCAGTGTGGGACCACCATCCGAAATCATCCACTCTTACGGTCTTGTTTAGGGTAGAAGTTTTATGTATTATTTTGATTTCAGTTTTATTTACTTCCGACGTTGAACTTTCGGGTTTGTATTTAGGAATCCTTGACATAGGATTTCCAAGTATGTATAAAGGAGTATTGTATTTAATAAAGGACGGATGTATGTTTTATTATTTAGTTTTCCTTTTCTATCTAAATTCTTCTATTATGATCATTTTGTATTCCATGCTTGTATATTATCAATTGTTTTTGATATCTCTCATTTTTCGTGTATAAGCCTAATCAACTTATGCGTAGAAAATGTGGGGTATCATATTTTGATCATGCATTGTTTTATTATATATATTGCTACATTTAATGTATACAAAAATAAAAATAAAAACCTAATCAATTGTCTTTATCTTCTTCTCTTTAGTCAAGTTTTGCTAGGATCGAAGCTTTTTTTTTTGCAAGGTACGTGTCACCCCCACTCCCTATTGGTAGAGTAATTCATTAATTTATTATTATTATTATATATATATATATATAGGGTTGTAATTATATATATATTTTTGATTAAATTTGAATATTGTTTTTTATTCTTTCAATATAATAAATTTAATTGACATCCAGTCACAACCATTACTGTCAATAAGCACGGCCAATGGATCTGCCCTCATGTTGCCATTAACTGTCATTTTCATAGTTTTATATTCATAACCAACAAGCTTTTTGCTTAACCATCATTGTCGATGACTTTTGATTGATTAATTTAATTGTATTTTTTTTGATTAAATTTGAATATTGTAGTAATTTGTAATTTGAATTTTATTAGGTAATTTGAAAGTGGTGATTGAGTTTGAGTTTAATTTTATTAGTTAATTTATAATTTGAATTAAACTCTTTTTATATTAATTAATAAAAAAATTTAGAAACAAATAGATAAATAGGTTATTCGTGTTAGAGTTTTATAGAAATTATTTTTATATCAATTAATAAATATTTTTTTTATATTTTGTGTTAGAGTTTTATTGAAAGTCTTTTAATAATAATATAGAAATTTTTAGAAATAGGTAATATATTTTTACATTTTGTGTTAGAGCTTTATAGAAACATCAAGAATTATTAATATAAAAAATATTTATTAATTAATATATAAAATATAAATAAATAAATAAATACTTATAATAAAAAACTTAAAAATATTTATTTACTACGTATTATAGCTTTGACAAAGCTACCGATGATACGGGACCTATTATCAAGAAGATTTCCTTAATTCATTAGCTCCCCCACATAAGTTAACACTGAAAGTCGATTGTCCTATAATGTTGCTAGAATTATTTTGTGTTAGAGTTTTATAGAAACTCTTTTAATAATAGTATATATTTATTAGGTAATTTGTAATTTGAATTTTAGTAGGTAATTTGAAAGTGGTGATTAATTTTATTAGGTAATTTGAAAGTGGTGTTTTGATTCTTATTTGATTCTAAGCTTGTCCAGGCTTTCAAAGTTTCTATAAAACTCTAACACAAATTATCAATTTATCTATTTATTATGAGTTTTTTAATAAAAGAAAATCTAATTAGACAAGAATTATTTATATAAAAAAATATTTATTAATTGATATAAAAATAGTTTTTATAAACATAATTACTATAAAACTCTAACAATTACCTAATAAAATCAATCATAATAAAATATTTATTAACTGATATAAAAATAAATCATAATAATTATTTTTTATGGATAATTATCATAATATATCCAGCCCGACCGAGTTATGATCATGTCATTATTAGGAGAGGACACATGTCATCATCCTATTAATCCAAGAAGCCTATAAATAAAGGCATGGAGGAAGGAAGAAGGGATACATAAATTGAGAATTCTATAAATCTAGAATTCTAGAGTAAAATACGGACCAAAGAGTTTCAGTATTTATTTATTTATATAAAAAAATATTTATTAATTGAGTTTTTATCTATACTATTATTAAATTTGCAAAGAGTTTAAGTATTTATTTATTTATATAAAAAAGAGTAATGATATTTGCACTGATTTGTTACACCGAATGTTTCTGATTGGTTATTTATGCTGCATAGTACATGTAATTGGAGGGCTCCACTTCTTTATTTATGTGATTTGTTGTAATGAATTGTCAGACTTATTTCTTTTAATTGATTCATTTATGTATAAATAAAGAAAATGGGCCCTCCATTTACATTTACTATGCATAAATAAACAATCAGAAACATTCGGTGCAACAAATCAGTGCAAGTATCATTACTCGCGTGTATATAAAAATTGAGCCAAATGATGATCATCTCAACACATACATCACACCAAATAAGATTTATTCTTCCCCATAATAGGGTTTAATTATTTTTTTATAGGGATCTACTCTTTAATTGCCCCATTTTTTACTATATTGAATTTTTATTGTTTATAAAAATTCTCGTGTGTATATATACATATACATATATATATTATATATAAAAAGTTGCAGCAGTATGATTCAAAATTAAAGAAAAGATCTTATTTTCCTAATTTTTTTAAGTAAATAAATTATATCAAGAAAGTACTTGATTTAAGGAGAATAATTTAAGTAGTAGTATTTTGGAGTGTATTTTAGACTTGGATTTGAACCCGTGACCTCAAGGTTATGAGCCTTGCGAGCTACCAAACTGATATATTTTACTTAATCCAACTAAAGTGAAAAATGAGCTTTTAAAATAGACAATTTTGTTATTTAAAACTCTCAACTCTATTTAAGTGTAGTTTTCTCATGTAAATAAGCAATCAAAATGAGCCAAACCGTTATCTGTTAATTACAGTTGTCTGAGCACTAATCCGGAAGCAGCCCTAGCAAGTAGGAACAGAGCAGCGGCAATGGTTGATTTCTTCCCTCAATCCGGTGGGCGAGTTGGAGTTTTGCAGCAAGAAGCAGAATAATCTTTTATTAGGAACCCTAATAGTAGAATTGAAGAAATACTGCAACTCAGGCCAAGGTTACATAGCCTAGTGAGTAGAGACCGCGTCATATCATTTTCGCTACTTCATCAGTTCATGCAAAAATCGCTTCAAATATTATTTTTTCCACACACTAAATAGTTTGCACATAATACAAAGGAAAGTAAATCATCAGACGCAAATCGATATGAACATTAGTCAGAAGAATGCACATAATACAAGGAACGTAAAATTAGATGAAAACAAAGTAAAGTATTGTTACAGTGATCATCAGAGTTTTCCAGAATCAGATTAGCTTGAAGAATAATAAACTGAATCTTCCACCTGTACAGAGCACCTAGAAACATCAGATTAAAAACCCACATCTTTATGATGATGAACAGCATATAGATCCCCCAAAATTTGAACAACTTCCTTCATTGTTGGGCGGGGTCTCACTTTTTTGCCCCGGCAGTGTATCTCTTTTTGCACACAGCCCATCGCTAGCTTGGTAATTTTACATCCATCTCTCTGATTGAACCCGAAATCTTTTTCAAGGCTTTCACGTACAAGAGAAATCTTTGAGGGGCCAAAGCTGAAGATTGATTTCTTCCGTTTCTGCTGTGTGTATGCATTCTCTGCCCACATGTGCACAGGACATGGAAGTTCATTTTTCTCTAGCAACATGTGCACGGGAAGTCGAATTTCATTATTCTTCGCACGAACTCTTTTGGATATGAGTTCCAAAAGTAAAGTACCAAACGAAAAGACATCGGTTCTTGGCATAAATACACCTGTTGCAGGGGATTTGACATTTCCATTACGAAACTAATGTCAAAATTTAAGTTGCAAAAATAAATTAAGATAGTAAAAAAATTCAACTCAACTATTATACTGGACAAACTGAATTAATTAGGCAGGACTAAAACGTATAATGTCTATGCAAAGTGAAATCAGATTGAAAATTGATGCATGCAGTATATTACGCTGATCTCCCCTCTAATTAGGGTTTATTACACGTACATCCCGTGCTTTGGATTATTATAGTTACCTCCCTTCTAGTAACGAACCCTGCAGATAGTGAACCTGGCGGCAAGGGTCGTTTTGTTAAACACATGAAACTAAAATGAGGGTAACGGTAATAATGCTAAACACAGGGGAGGTAAGTGTAATAAACCCTAACTAAAGGGAAGGTAAGTGTAATAAACTCTAGTAAAATAACATTAGGGCTCACAAAAATTATTGAAGTAATACTTCAACCTTTTAGTATAAATGAAGTTCAAAAACAGATTAGTGGCTTACCCCGGTAGATCATCCTCATTAAGGTACTTAAAAGAAAGTTTCCCAGCTACGGGAGCTTTGCAAGTTCCAATGAGTCTTTAAAAGAATTTAGGAGAAGGAAAATTAAGACCATTGTAATTTGTAGCATTGCAAAATATCACAAACATAAGTAGCCAAATCAATTTAAATCCAAATCTCATGCTAAGCAAGTAAATATATAAATAAATAATCAATTCAAGTCTCATGCTTAAACATTTTCCCCACAGGATAAACCAGAAAGTACGAAGCAAAGAGAATAGGACGATCAGCTTCCACTCCCAAAATTATGATATCATATATTGAAAATCAGATAAAAAAAATCGGGAATTGAAAGGTGACAGTCAACAAATTCACGTGGGTTCACATGATGTTATCTCACTAATATGTGTATTGACTAAAATTTTCATTTTAAAGTAATTTTCCAAAGAAAGAAAAGGATAAAGTGCCTCCATGATATACATTGCACGCTGAGCCCATCTCAATGCCATAATTCTGTCGTCAGTATTGCTTACAAAAGAGTTTCAGCTGTTGGTTTTGGGGAGGGGGGGGGTGGGGGCGGGCCGTTGCGCTATGGATTTTTAGCCTACCATCTGTTATGTGTTGGTAGTTGGAATGACTGTAATCAGTGTGCACTACAAAGCTTAATTTGTGAGTGCTACATGGAAGTACGTGGAAGGATCAGTCTTTCCTTTCAATTCTATATTGGTTGGTAAAGTTTCTTGATCCACTACTTATAAATGTGGGAGAATTGGCCAAATAAGCTATCACCATCAAGCTGCTCTTTTTAATATATTGATCTCACCTCTTCAAACTGGACCTTCATGACTTAAAAAGAGACCTAGCAGCCTTCTGACAGTAATGTTTCTATAAACCACCACTATAACCCGTCAAAGGGAAAAAAAAAAGAAAAAAAAAGGCAATAGATAAAAGATTGCACGCTTCAGCGACTTGGACACGAAAATGCACCCTTCATCCACAGATGCTGCTTAGTGCAATAAAGCACATGCCTCTGGGGAGACATGTACAATTCAAGGCCTTTTTGCTGCAGTTTGCCTCATCAAGTACTTCAAAAATCAAAACCGCCCTTTAGAAAAATGATTATTTTATTATAATTGACAGATGGCCCAACACTGAAATATATTAACATTCTAAGTCTAGCATTATCTGCGGCCTAGCAAGCATGGACAAGGACACGAATACGACACAATCCGAACATGGCGATATGACAAATATAAAAAGAGGACACCGATATGTCAAAAAAAAAAAAAAAAAATTATATTATATGCAAAAAGAAGAAGAAGAAAAAAAACTTATACTCATTTTATCCATGTTATCATGAATGGAATTACTAATTTGTGCTGAAGAGCTCATTATTTTTACTTTTATTTTAAAAAAATTATATCTTTTTTCAAATAAACCATAATATATTTTAAACTTGCATCAAAACTTTTTCCTTCTGAAAGAAATATTTACAGAATTAACCCTTCACATCTTGAAAGTACCCAAAACATGTCCCCATGGTGTCCAAAAAGGAAAAAAATTAAAAAATCAAATTCCGAGACACTTCTAGTTGTGTCCCATGCATGTCTGATTGTGCGACACCTAGAGAAGTATCCATGCTTCCGAGCTTGTAAGCTTTCCTTAAAAATGGCAGGTTTGAAATTTCATAACATGTTGTCACAAATTCCATTGAACAAAATTTCACCAAATCTCAACATGAACATATGCACTAAAACCATTTAAAAAATATTTTCTTATTCAATAAATAAGGTAAATTACATTGACAATCCCGAGGTTTGCCCTAATTACACATGCTGGTCGGCAAAGGGCCTGATTACTCCATCTCCTCGTCAGGTTTGACGTGTGTGCTTGATGACCCCTATCTTGTTAATTAGCCGTTAGAATTGTCAAAAAATTTGACATTATGACGAATTTTTCCTTCCCACGGCCGAAAAGATGATAACAGTATTTGGAGATATAAAAAATTAAAATATACCCTTTAACCCACTCCCTCCCTTTTTTTGTGTTAACCAATTCACCATTGTAGCATTTCCATTTTTTTGTTTCTAATTAAATCCTCCATTGATACTCACAATAACAAATTCCTCAACAAACTTTTTTTTTATAAAAAAGTTACATAAATAAATTTGATTGGACAAACCCAATATCTTCTAAAAGAGAGAGAAACCAACGACTTACTGTTTTGGATTGATGGCTCTATGTAACCTAATCCAAATGATCTAAAGGTGTAGCAAGCGAAGATTTCTCCTGCCACTGTGCCAGCAGCTAGGGTTTCACTAGAAATCAGAAAGTCACCTACAAAATTACAACGGAAAGGTTGAATGGATTTTCCAAGTAATAATATATAACATGCCCCTCTCTAGAAGTCTAATGATAGAATCACCGCTGTTGTTGATGACAATTAACATATTTCACCTAGTTTTGGTTGTCAATGTTCTTCGTAGAAGAAGAGGAAGACGTTCTTGATTGCTAGAACAGACAAAGCCGCTACAGCTTCACATCCAAATGGAACTTGTGGTAGTTGGTGATCACCACTAATCGGACCTTGAGGATCAAATCTTCTTCTTTTTTTGATAATTAAAAATACGCATTAAACAAGCGTTCAAAAGGGCAACGTGCCCCAAGAACAACACACAGGCCATAAAGGCCCCAAGGAACCCAGAAAGTCGATTGTCTCCTCTAGGGATGAACAATGTCTACCCGAAACCCAACAAAAAAGAGAGCTAATGACAAAAGATTTAAGAACAACAATCGAAGAATCCTCCCCTTCAAAGGATCTTCTATTCCGCTCCCTCCACAAACACCACCAAAGGCACAAAGGCACCACCCTCCAATAATCTCGGGCTTGTGGTCCCACAGAGCACCCTCTCCAAGCATCCATCAAACCTCTCGCGGATCTAGGCATGACCCACGGAACACCAAATAGACCAAACAAAAGGCTCCAACAATCATATGCCACTGGACAATGCAGAAGAAGATGGTCAACTGACTCTCCATTACACTTGCACAAGCAACACTAATTAACAGTGATTTGCTTTCTCCTCCTCAGATTGTCAAGCGTCAAAATCTTACCTCAAACCACTGTCCAAGCAAATAAAGCCACCTTGAGTGACGCCTTAGATCGTCACACCGCCTTCCATGGAAAGGAAGTCCGGGCCAAGACCGAAAGACATCTAAACAGAGACCTCCCTTTGAATCTTCCCCGAGAAGAAGGCACCCAAACAATAGAATCCGGGCCTCCGCCGCCAACCTCCTGACTATACAAGAGCACCAGAAAACCATAGACGTCATCCAACTTCCAATCCTGAAAATGTCTTGAAAAATGCCCATCCTAGGTTAGCCTCCCGCTATCAAGCCGATAGCAATCCGCAACCAAGGCATGCCTATCCACAACAATCCTAAACAATTTGGGGAAAAAACAAGCTAAAGGACGATCTCCACACCAAAGATCTCCCCAAAAACGAATATCCCTACTATCCTGAGCTTTGAATCTAATATGTTTAGAAAACCATAAACGCCCTTATATATAAGGCCACAACAAAGTACTAAATAGGGCCCAGGACCTGCAAACGGAAAATACATCAAAAGCAATTTCCACACAAAGCACATTTTTCGGGTCAAAATTGGGTTGCACAAAATTTGAGCCACAACATCACAATATGGTAGGCATCTTCTTTTATTTAGATTTTTTTCAAAACTGGAATTCATCAAACTTCCACTCAATGTCAATACTCAATAACTTTATGAAAACAAAGGCCCCTCGGAAACAAATGAAAACTAACTTTATTGAAATTCTTTAACAAATGAAAGGGGATTTCCTCTTTTCACCACTATATGGATATGTATGTATGCAAGCAGATTAGAGCTACAACTTCATCAAAGCTAGAAATAAAGATAAAGATGACAATATCAAACATCTAAGAAACCATCGCTTCCACATGACGAGTACTTGGACCTTTGCAAGGTAAAGATGACTTTTTAGGGCAAAAAGATCAATATTAAGACTTCTCTTTCTACACACACACACACACATATCCATCTCTCTTAGCATCATATAACGTCTTTATTATTTCTTTCATTCACCCTTTTCTACAATCAATAGCCCATGACTTTTTTGTAGCCAAAACGAATAACAAAATTGTTCTTTATTCTAGATCCATTATAATTTTATTGATTCATTTTCATCTTTATAGCTTCAAAATGTGCAAGCTTACCTCTTGTATGAATAATTTTTTTTTGGGGGGGGGGGGGGGGTGGCAACGATTTTTAGCATATTCAACATGGGTGGAGCCATATCCTGCTACGGGTTTGTTGGGTGAGTTAACCCAACCCAAACTGAGGTTGAGTCGCGATAGGTTTTTTCATTGTCTAAGATGGGCTTGGATATATGTCTCTTAAATAGATCCCATTTCAATTTAGGCTAAGGTTGAGAGATGTGCAACCTGAACTCGAGCTATTATAATAATTTTTAGGGATTATTACATATAAATGGTGCTAATGACCCATATTTACCATTTAATGAAGTCAAAGTCTCATAATTTCAAAAAAATGAAGTTGACCAAAATGCTGATATGGACATGGAAAAACATTGTTTACCCTCACTGAGGTTCCACTTTTAGACATATAGGTACCATTTTTTGTGCACGGAGATACCACTTTTTGTGCATCAGGTACCACTTTTGTTTTGATACCTGTATGCACAAAAAATGGTACTTATGTGCCTAAAAGTGGTACCTCAGTGAGGGTAAACAGTGTTTTTCCATGTCTTTATTTTTTCGAAACTATGAGACTTTGACTCCATCAAATAGTAAATATGGGTCATTAGCACCATTTATATGTAATAATGCCTAATATTTATTATTTTATTTTTATATAAGTGATAATATTTATTATTTTCTCATTGTATTTAGAAGATTAATGTGAAATCGCAGCCATATTTCAGTATAGTAAATTCTTAAACTCTGTAGGCGAGCATTAACGCCCGTTACTTAAAAGGGAGGTAAGTGTAATTATCCAAAACATAGGAGAGGTCCGTGTATTTTTCCCTAACTAGGTCACCCTTAGAAATATCAGAATACCTCTCAAGTTGTGGGAGGATTTTTTTAGCGTCTAGGATCTTTTACTCTATTGAAGATGCAAGAAATTCCTTCTCCACTTTCTCTCTCTAGAATTCTTACACCTCAACCCCCAAAAAGATCCCCCTTCATTTCATTCCATCTCCTATTTATAGATATTTACAAGATATTTACAAGATATTTACAAGATATTTACTAATTGCTGGATCTGGGCCTATTCCTTCGTAAGCCTTGGTCACCTTTGATGGGCTTACTCTCGTTCGGCCCATATGGCAGTGTCCTTCTATGGGCTGGCCCAGCTGTACGGACTGAATGCTATGTTTGCGAGTCGGATCTGGCCCATGTCATCCGGGGCCTCCTCAACTGCCCCCATAATTGCCCCTTATTTAATAAGGGGTAATTATTGATGGCGTCTCATCATGACGTTGACGGCTCGAGATAACCACGTGGGGGAGTGGACGGTCAGATCCAGCATCAATGTTCCGGGGCTCGAGGGATTTCTCGCCTTCCCGACGCTTCGGCCCTCGGGCCCCCTCGCCTTTATAATGCTCTAGAATTCCACTTCACTTCCCTTTACCGTCTCCATCATCAGCCAAGTCTCTCTCTTTTCTAGAACAGTGCTAAGCTTTCCTTGGTGAAATTCTTCAAGAGTCATTCTTCCAGCGATCTTGCAGTCCTCCGAGGTTAGTTTCGTTCTTTTTACTTTCGGCAGGCTTCCATTTACCCTCTTGTAGATTCTTCTATCACTTCCACCATGGTTGTAGATCTGGATGTTCTTCGTATGAGACTTAGACTTCCTGACAACATCGAAGTTAGGGTTTGCCCCCAAGACGTTAACATTACGACCGGCGCCGGCCTCCTGCCCGGCGAAGTCTTATTCACGAACCTTCAATTGAATGTTGTTAGGTTCCCTCTGCACCCTTTCTTTAGTTATGTCTTCAATAGATTGGGGATATCCCCTCTGCAGGTCAACCCCAACTTCTTTAGAATCATATCTGTTATGCTCTTGTTGATGCGTGACAGAAATCTGGACCTCGACCTCATAGACCTCCTTCTGTGCTATAAGGTGAGTAAGATCCGTATTAACGAGCCCTTCTACCACCTCTACCCGTTCGAGAAGATGTCCATATGTACTGACACAATAAAATCTGAAAAGGGTTGGAGGGATAGCATAGTGGGCATTAGTGGGGCTTGGTCTTCGCCGGCTGCAGAGGGTTACCCAATCCCGAGCGCCTTTGGTGTCTGCTCTGTCTCCTCCTATAAAAAATTCAAATCCCATAAACATGACTGCCCCTGTGAAACATGCGTTCCTCGTTTTTGCACTTACTTATGCCGCTCCTTGGGAATACCTTGTGATGACTTGAGCTATAGTGTTTGCAGGGATAGGAGTAACTACTTGAAGAGATACGTTCTGAACGATATTCCTTCCTGCTCAGATCTCCTCACTTCAGACAACCTCTTAGCGCTATCATCACTCGGCTACAACATGAGCAGACTTCAGATTCCCTCTTTTGGCAGGAGGAAAAATACTCCCCCAGCCACTCCTGCTGCTGGGGCGACCTCCTCTCCAGCGTCAGCTTCTTCTTCAGCCACCATATCTGACACTGTCCCGAGCGCAGTGGCTACTAACCCTGTTGCCAGCGCCCCTGCTGCCAACCAGAACGCGCCCTCCCCAGCTACCATAGCTCCTGCTGCTGCGGGGGGCGGTCGGGACAAAGAACGAGGCAAAAGGCCTCATCCTGACAGTGAAATCGATCCTGAGGAGGAGCCTCTCATTAGAAGGACCCGGGTCTCTGGGCCGGGTACTCTCTTGCACCGAGCGATCAGAGCTCCTTCTCCCTCTGGGCCTCCTGCAGCTGGTGGCTCTGCTTCTGCTTCAGGCCCCCCTTCTATCCCCAGCTTACCGCCATGGGCCCCTCGGTACACCCGAACGGATGGGACGTTCGTGAAACCGAACGAGACCATGCTGAAGGATGGCCAGACCGCTATGGCCTACTACAGGAGCATGTGGACTCCGAAGGACCTTGAGGCGGCAAAGGGCCTTTCCCAGAAGGACGTGTTCAGTCGCTTTCCCCAATCTGCTATGGAGGTGACTTTTATTTTCTAACTCATGAATTCTCTTATATTACTTGGTCTTGCCTTCGCCCGTTCTGACTATTGGTTTAACCGTTTTTATTGTGCACCTATGCAGACATTGTTCGGGATGATGGCCATGCAGAAGCAGGTGGAGATGGGGAACGCCAGGGCCCGAAAGTATTCTGACAGCCTGGAGGTGGCTAATAAAGAAAACGACCTCCTTGCCATGAAGAATACCGAGGTGCTGGTTCGGCTTGACAAAGCCGAGCAAGAGAGAGATGTCCTGAAGAAGGAGAATGATTCCCTTCAGGATGAGAAGGACGCCCTCCAGCTTGAGAAGAGCGTCTGGCAGACTGAGCGGGAATCAATTAGAGAAGAGAAGGCAGAACTCCAGCGCCTTCTAGCTGATGAACAGTCTGCTCGGATGGCTTTTGAAAAAAGAGCTCTGGACGAGCGTACCGCTCTGATCGACGCGATCAGCAGAGTGGGTGGTGGGATGCTGGCCCTTCACGCTCGGTTCTCCAGGGTCGGTGCTCTTCGGTATGCTCAAGGATTCCGGGAAGGTTTCGCCGACCGGGTTCCGGATGAGGGACAGACCAGCTCCACTCCGGATGAGGTAGACAAGGATCTGGGGATCGAACCTCTGGGGGTCTATGTCGACCCAGAACCCACCGAAGCGGAACGTATATTTGATGAGTGCCAGGACATCGCATCCTCAAGGATCATCACAGCTCCTCCTACCGCTCTGCCACTGACCGCTCCCCAATCGTCAACCGTGGTTCCTTCTATAGCCACTGCTGACGCTGAACCCCAGCCGAACGATTCAGTCATTCACCTTGATTCCCCACCTCATGAAGGTGAGGCGGCTGATGGGGCCGAGGAGGCGAGTCGGCACGACCAGGATGCTGTTGGTACTGAGGCGTCTAGCTAGGGCTCCTTCGAATTCTTCTATTTCATATCTTCTTGTAATGATGGACATCTCTCTTTTGTAAACTCAATGTTCAATATTAATGAAATGACAGAACTCTTTTTCCCTATGCGTTGTGCTCTATTCAACTTATCTTCAGTACATACATATTTTTTCTCTCTTTTTCTTTTATATTTTCTTTTATATTAGAATGCCACTTGCCACTTGGCTTTAAATTTTTAGCAAGTGTCTGGCGTTCGGCTTATAGTGCCAGCTGCCACTTATCTTGCTTAAGTGCCTGGCGCTCGGCTAGAATGCCACTTGCCACTTGGCTTTAAATTTTTAGCAAGTGTCTGGCGTTCGGCTTATAGTGCCAGCTGCCACTTATCTTGCTTAAGTGCCTGGCGCTCGGCTAGAATGCCACTTGCCACTTGGCTTTAAATTTTTAGCAAGTGTCTGGCGTTCGGCTTATAGTGCCAGCTGCCACTTATCTTGCTTAAGTGCCTGGCGCTCGGCTAGAATGCCACTTGCCACTTGGCTTTAAATTTTTAGCAAGTGTCAGGCGTTCGGCTTATAGTGCCAGCTGCCACTTATCTTGCTTAAGTGCCTGGCGCTCGGCTAGAATGCCACTTGCCACTTGGCTTTAAGTTTTTATAGTAGACCGTTGGAAAAGAAAATTCTTTTTTTGTAAATTCCAGTAACTTGCTCATTCATACGTATTTGATTGACAACAAATAACATCCAATTAAAGCCAGAACTTAGCTTTTATTGGTAGTACCTCTTCAGAGACGTGGCGTTCCAAGGCTTGCTGACCAACCTTCCCGCCATGGTTTCCAACGTATATGCCCCCTTGCCAATGACTTCCGCAATTCTGTATGGGCCTTCCCAGGGTGGCATCATTTTTTTGACCATCCCCACCTTTCTTTTCAGAACCAGATCGCCAGGGGCAAAATCCCTGTGTTTTACTCTCTTGTTGTGACTATTCGCCAGCACTTGCTGATACGATGCTAGCCTTATAGCCGCTGCGTCTCTCCTTTCGTCTATCATGTCGAGGTTCAATCTTAACATCTTGTCGTTCTGATCCCGACTCCATGCTAAGCTTCTGATAGTGGGGACTAAATGCTCAACCGGTATAACTGCTTCGGTACCATACGCCATTGCGAACGGGCTCTCCCCAGTCGGCCGCCTTGGGGTGGTTCTGTAAGCCCATAGAACGTTCGGGAGTTCATCCAACCACTTCCCCTTATGATCTTCCAGCTTCTTCTTAATACAGGCGAAAATGGTTCTGTTTGTGATTTCTGCTTGTCCGTTGGCCTGAGGATGACTTACTGCAGCCAACTTCTGGTTGATTCCATACTCCTCCAGCAGCTTTCTTACTTGCCTGCTGTCGAGGTTTGTGCCATTGTCCATGACTATTGTTCTGGGAACACCGAAGCGGCAGATAATGTTGTTCCAGATAAATCGTCTCACCTGAGTCTGAGTCACGCTAGGATACGGTTCTGCCTCCACCCATTTAGTGAAATAATCCGTGGCCAGTAACACATACTTGTTCTGAGCTCTTGCAGTTGGCAGAGGACCGACCACATCCATCCTCCATTGCGCGAAAGGCCACGGCGAGGCCATTACGTGCAATTCCTCAGGTGGTTGGTGGATCAATGGTCCATATCGTTGGCACTTATCGCACCTTCGAGAGAACTCCTCCGCATCTCTTGACATGTTTGGCAAGAAATACCCTTGTGTCATTGCTTTATGCGCTAACGATCTTCCCCCAGAATGATTGCCACACACACCCTCATGAATAGCTCGCAATACCTGCTGCGACTCCGCGGGGGTGACACATTTCAAGTACGGGCCAGAATAGGACCTTCTGTACAGCTGGTTCCGCACGATGGCGTACTTGGCAGCATTCTTTTTGAGTTTCCTAGCTTCATCCCTTTGCATAGGCAAAACGCCATCTCGAATATAGGTAATGATTGGGTCAATCCAACTCGGTTCATACGGTATGACGTTGACTTGCCAAGGGTCAGAGTCCATCGGTTCTTCGAAAATGGATGGCTGGGTCACTATTCCTATTGGAATCACCCTCGCCAATGTTTCACCGCAACTCGAAGCACTGCATGCTAAACGGTCTGCATCTGCATTCTGTTCCCTCGGCAACTGTATGAATTCAATCTTTGCAAAGTCCTTGGCTCTACGCAGAACGGCAGAACGATATGCCCCCATCATGTCATCCTTGGTTGCGTACTCACCATTTACCTGCCGAACAATCAGCTGCGAGTCACTATACACTGTCAAACTTTTGATCTGTAGCTCTCTGGCCAACTTTAATCCATTTAGCAACGCCTCGTATTCCGCTTCATTATTGGTGGCTCGGAACTCAAGTCTGAGTGCTTGGCTCAAGGAAGTACCCTCTGGGGTTTGCAGTTTGATCCTAATCCCAGCCCCCATCTGGTTAGAGGAGCCATCCACAAAAAGTTTCCAAGAGCCGCTTCTAAGGTCCTCTTCCGTATCTTCGGCATCACATTCTAGTAGGAAATCGGCTACCGCTTGCCCTTTAACAGCTGTTCTCGGCTCATACGTTATGTCAAATGAACTCAACTCTATGGCCCACTTTGTCATTCTGCCCGAGAGCTCTGGCTTGTGCATGAGCGTTCTGATTGGGAAAGTTGTTAGAACAGCTATGGGGTGGGATTCGAAATAATGCCTCAACTTTCTTTTTGCATTTACAAGTGCAAGTACCACCCGTTCGGCCTTTGAGTATCTTTTTTCTGCCTCCATCAGTGTTTTGCTTACATAAAATACCGGGTATTGCACCCCTTCCTTGCAACGAATCAGAACGGCACTCGTCGCGACACCAGATACTCCAAGATATAGAAATAACTTTTCTTCCGGTTCTGGGGCTGACAGGACTGGTGGATTCTGCATATATTGCTTCAAATGAGTCAATGCCTGTCGTTGCTCATCCCCCCAGACCTGCCTTCCATGGCTCCGAATCGTGTCAAAGAATGGTTTGCAGTGGTCTGACAATTTTGAAATAAATCGACTTAATGCAGCTATTCGTCCTGTTAGGGCTTGCACCTCTCTGATCGTCTTTGGCTCGGCATTCTTAATCAAAGCCTCTGCTTGAGCGGGGCTAACTTCGATGCCCCTGCGGTTGACCACGTGTCCCAGAAACTGCCCGGAACTCACACCGAACGAGCACTTGGTCGGATTGAGCCTCATCCCATATCGCTTTAGTATATCAAATACCTCTTGCAGATGCTTCAGATGATCATCCTTTTTCCTACTCTTTACCACCATATCATCAATATAGGCTTCGACAATCTTACCCATTTGATTCTTAAAAACTTTGCTAACAAGTCGTTGATAAGTTGCTCCCGCATTCTTTAGCCCGAAAGGCATAACTTTGTAGCAGTATGTTCCTCGCTCGGTGACAAAAGAAGTTTTTTCTTCATCTGCGGGGTCCATAGGAATCTGATTATAACCTGAATATGCGTCCAGAAAGGTTAAACGCTCATACCCAGTGGTGGCATCCACCATTTGATCAATCTTAGGCAACGGGAAGCTGTCCTTCGGACAGGCTTTGTTCAAATTGGTGAAATCAATGCATACTCGCCATTTCCCATTTTTCTTCTGCACCACAACGACGTTGGACAACCACTCAGGGTAGTGCACTTCTCTGATAAATCCCGCATCAAGCAGCCTATCGACTTCTTCCGCTATGATCTGATTACGTTCTGGAGCAAATCTTCGCTGCTTCTGTTTCACTGGTTTGAAATTAGGATTGACATTCAGGGAATGACAGGATACAGAAGGACTAATTCCAGGCATGTCTAGGTGACTCCATGCAAATACGTCGACATTGTGGGACAAGAAATCCACTAGCTCTTGCTGCTCTTCTCTGGTCAGTCTTATACCTACTCTGGTAGTTCGTTCTGGCCTGGACTGATCGATCTGCACATCCAGAAGGGGCTCCTCGGTCAAGTCGGCTGACTCCTCCACCCTATTCTGCTCGAGCGGAGGTTCCTGTAATTGCTATCTGGGGCTTGTCGAACGGACGGGCGCCTTTCCTTTCCCAGCATGCTTTAGTGTGACGGAATAACACTCTTTGGCTGCGACCTGATCCCCCCGAATGTCTATTACTTTATCTCCATCGGGCCCGAGGCACCTCATGACCTGATGCAGAGTTGAGGGTACACCTCGGACTCTGTGAATCCATCCTCTTCCCATCAGGAGATTATACGAGGGGTGAATTTCCACAACCACAAAAGTTTCCATAAGAGCTCGTTCTGCAGCTTGAACTTCTACTTCCACCATCCCGACGGGTTCCACCCTCTTCCCATCGAACCCTAATAAGGGATTTCCGGTGGGCTTGAGCCTCTCTGGTTTAATGTCGAGCCTGTCAAATGTGTCCCTCGGCATAACATTCGCACTGCTCCCAGGATCGATCAGAACTCTGCGCACCAAGCAATCTGCCACTGTCAAACTGACTACCAACGGGTCGTCATGAGGCAGTTGAACACGCTGCAGGTCTGTCCAGTCGAACTTTATCTGCATTGACGGGCTCTGCTGGTGTAGAGTGGTCACATTGCCGACCTTTTTCTTCATCTGCGCCTGCCGCAGGCGCACCCGGAGCAGCTCATCTGACTCTTCACTAGGCTCGGGTCGACCATGGATAGCATTGATTATACGAACTGGTTGCGAATTGTGGGAGCTTTGTTTATGACTCCTTTTTATTTGTTCCACCGGTCGATTCTGCTCCATCGCCGAGCCTTGAACATAACTCGCAAACTCCCCTCTAGCTATCAACATCTCCACTTGCCTCCTCAGGTTCCTGCATTCGTTAGTCTGATGTCCGAAATCAGAATGAAAAGCACAATGTTTAGTTTGATCCCTCTGTTCGAGGGGTTGTCTAATTGGCAGTGGTGGATGAAACTTGTCCTTGTTCTCCTGATACAGCCTCGCCAGAGTGACCTTCAGCGGAGTAATCAACTCTTCCTCCCTGGACCTTTTTTCGGCCTTCCAAGTGGTCTGACGTTGCGGCTGAGCCTGCTTCTGCCTGATCTTTGCCTTGGACTTTTCCTCGGTCGACACAAGCGACGTTGTCCGAGCATTAGCTGCCTCCTCTTCTTCGAGGCGCACAAAGCCATCGGCTCTCTCATTGAGTTCATCCATGGTAGCCGGCGTGTTCACTACCAGACTGGTGTGAAACGGAGTTCCGCGTGTCATGGCTAACTTGAAGGCTTGAACTGCCGTAGAAGGGTGGCATTCGATCACCATACTCTTAGTGAGATTAAACCTGGTAAGAAAGGCCTGGAGACGTTCATCCTTGTGCTGCCGCATCGTGAACAGGCTCGAGATGTCCTTCGGCGGGCGTTTGTTCCCATAGTACTGGCTTATGAACCGATCGCACAGGTCCCTGAAACTGCCAATGGAGCTCCTAGGCAAGTTTTTGAACCAGCTGAGCGCCGGTCCGGCCAGGCTTGTAGGGAAACATTTGCACATTAAAGAGTCGTTTTCCGTATTTAGGGCCATTTTCAACTGGATATGATACACATGATCGATCGGATCGGTCGTTCCGTCAAACAGAATAAAGACTGGCATAGCAAACTTCCTTGGATGCGGCGCATTCAAGATCTCGTCGGTGAATGGTGAATCCACCGTCCGAGCTGCGGATCGGAGAGCTTCATTCTCTCTCTGGAGTCCAGCGGTAGCTCTGTGAGTTACGGTTCTGCCCTCCGAACCGTGATGAGTGACAGTAACCATGGAGGGCCGGTAAGACGGATCGAACGACCGTTCCTCTATGAACTCTCTTTGCCAAGGCGACGCTACTCGACGGCGATCAACCTCCATCACTTCCTCTCGGTCAAACCTTTCCCGCTGCGGATCAACGTGAGTCGATCCTTCGTGATCTTCAACTCGACGAACATTTGGCGGCAAATTGTCCATCATCCTTTCATCACGGTGGTGAGCTGACTGATTGTTCTCGTTCTGATCGCCTTGATGCGCGATATTGGATTGAACACCTCCTTCTCCGACCGGAGGTGGATGCGAAACCGCAGGTATTTGCCGATGTTGCAGTCCAGCTTTCAATTCTGCATTTTCTTTTCTGAGAGCTTCAATCAAGTTCATCAACTCTTCAAGCTTTGTTTGCTGGACAGCCTCCATCGGATTGGAGCTTTCACCTATCATTATTCCCGAACGGAGTAAAGGCATTAATCTCAAGCTCGCGAGTAGATCTGAGCTTCGTGAGTAGGAATTTTTTAGATCTGGCTTCTAATTCTCCGAATTATGCTCACTGTTTACGAGATCTGAATTGTCTGAACTCTAAATCCGTCAGATCCTGCCACAATCAAACAACTCGTAGATCTGAAGTCACTCCAAAGCTTCAAGAATTGTAATTCCTCCAGAGCAGGTCACAATCGCTCAGCTCTGGATTCAAATCCCAAAGATCGAGTCTCGATCAACCGAATTGGTTTGAATCCATTCGATATTCCTCATTGATCAACCAAACTTCCATGCGTTTCCCACAGACGGCGCCAATTGAAGATGCAAGAAATTCCTTCTCCACTTTCTCTCTCTAGAATTCTTACACCTCAACCCCCAAAAAGATCCCTCTTCATTTCATTCCATCTCCTATTTACAAGATATTTACAAGATATTTACAAGATATTTACTAATTGCTGGATCTGGGCCTATTCCTTCGTAAGCCTTGGTCACCTTTGATGGGCTTACTCTCGTTCGGCCCATATGGCAGTGTCCTTCTATGGGCTGGCCCAGCTGTACGGACTGAATGCTATGTTTGCGAGTCGGATCTGGCCCATGTCATCCGGGGCCTCCTCATCTATAATGTGAAAAGTTATGCTTATTAGCTTCTTTATGGTGTCAGTTATGATGCTTGATAAAATCATTCAAGCAAGCATTAAGCGACACTGTACATCTTTTTGGTAATACATTTGAACATAAGAATAATTTTCCAAGTTTTTAGTTGGCTGCGAAATCCAAGAGAGAGGTTCAAATATAAATGTTCAAACCCCTGTCATTCAGCAATGCAGATTCAACTAAAAAGAGTGCTCAAGAACAATTTATGATTATGCAAAAAGTCTTTTCCATTTATATGGTTAGATTTTCACTTCTCATTTCTACTTTTTTTTAACCCTCTATATAGCATATTCTTTAGTGATTGCAAAATTTCATAAATAATATGTCTCATGGTAAAGAAGGCAATAACTTATCTATCTAACAAAAAATTGTAAAACAAACATCAAATTGACATACCAGAAGCAGGAATCCTCAGATCAATATAACCAAAAGATCCAAGCAATAATCTGTTCGGGGCACTACTCTTATCACCAAGAACTCCACCAGTAAGCATACCGAAGTCAAATACTATTGGATTGTAACCCTGCATTTCAGGATAACATAATGTCATGTAAATTTCTCAAGATACTTTTCTTCAAAATGAGTTTCTTGCAAAGCTAGGTACAGTGAACACGTAGACAGCAAAATCAACCTGATCAAGCATTATATGTGCAGCATCAATATTGCGAACAATGTATTCCGGTGATTGACCATGCAAAAGCTCAAGCACGCGTGCAAATCCAATTGCCACTTTGATTCTTTGGAGCCAGGAAAAACTATCTACACCCAAAAAAAAAAAAAGTGTTGGTAAATAACAGAAACGAAGAAACTTTCTTAATTACATTAACATACCTGCTGCCTGCAGCAAATAACCACCACACTGTGTACTGGTTGCAGCAATTAATTGAATATATCCAATAAGGTGCAAAACTAAACAAATTAAATCCTAATCTGATCAGCTTAAGACCCAGTTTAAGAATTAATCGGATGTTGACTGCAAGGCAAAGCTATAAATGTCATCTTAGATCACGATATGATGAACAACAGAATTAGTTCGTATTGCGATCATGGTTATTATTCTGCAAGTAATGTTTCACCCCCACAAAAACTCTCCAAACATAAACTGAAAATTTTGATCTATATGCACAACAAAGCAATACATGATAAGATAAAATCTAGGTGTGACAAAAGAATCAAAGTGAAAAATGTTTTAATACCTTTAACTATGAGATTACGCAATGTATCCAAAGGATTAAGATCATAAACAACACCCAAAAGACCATCTTCACAGCAGTATCCCATCAACTTGGCCAAGTTTGGATGATGGTTGACACTCGGCTCTTTTAGAAAAGTACATTCTGCCTGGGAAGATAGAAACACATCATAGAAAAACTACAAGAACAACATATATAACCTACAAAATTCAAATTAAGATTATTGAAACACAAAACTGGGGAAAAAAATCAAAAACAAAAAATGTTATTACCATCAATTGGGAACGATTTTCATTCTTGCCAACATAAAGTAATCCTCCCTCTTCCCAGATCTTCACCGTCACATCCTGACCTTGCTGAGTCTTACCTCGGAACACTCTGCCAAATTGGGTTTCCCCAATCAGGTTTGCTTCGCTAAAATTATCAGTTAAATCTTTTAACTCCTCAGGAGAACATTTCCTAAGATCTAATCTTTCGCCTTCCATTGTTGGACCTATTCCAGTTTTGTATGGCAGAATATAAATGGTCAGACAAAGTTTCTTTTCATATGAACCATGTGAAATCAATATACTCACGAATACATCCTACATTTTTTTGTATATAAATTGCATCATTATGAGTAAAATCACATCAAAACAAATTTATTCCTATACACGCACACAGATATGAAGCCAATCCAAACACCAATTTGAAGATTTTGAGTACTAAAGTTGTCTAAAATGTTTCAACCAATATAGAACAATCTACAAAATCATTAAAGCTACGTTGGCAGTGAGAGAGCAATACCCTATAACTGAAATTGAAGACAATATCAGTCCACAATACGAATTAGATGTTCCCCAATTTCAGTTCCAAGGCATGAATTCCCTGGCGCCAAACAATGAAATTTAAATGAAACAAGGACAACACAGAAATCAGAACCATGAACGATTAATCAAACCAGGATTTGGGAAACAATAGATGATCAGGTAACAATGACACAAGTCGATCACGGTCTGCATTTCGCAATGAAATTTTAATAATAAAAACAAAAATTATATATCAAAACGAAACGGAAATTTTCAAATTGATAGAATATTTTGGATTCTACATACAAATCTACATATTAAATGGGGGAAACAAATGATTCTGACCTTCAATCAGGATTAGGTCTTCTCTCTCTACGCCCTTCTCTCCGGGCTAAGCTTCTGTTTGATTTCGAGCCTGAATACACACTCGGTTCGTATATACTGTGTGATAACCAGGGTTGATGTGTGCAAGAATCTTTGGGCCCACCTCAGACAGAGAACGTTGGGCCCATTCCACTTCACTTTACCAGCCCAATTAATCTGAAAGGAGAAGAGTAAAACACACCATCCTTTGGTTTTGATTATTAAATGACGCAGACAATCTCAAAAAAAAATAATAATAATAAATATATAAATAAATAAAGAATATTAGAAAAAATTTATTGTTGATTTCACATATATTTTAAAATAAATTTTGCAGCTAATATCCTCATTTGACAAATAATTTCCTAAACTATAGTAAATGTCCAATTTAATATCTACAATTTTCAAAAGCATTGGGAGGCTATGTTTAAATAGACTTAGGAGCTAAGTCACACAATTCTTGTTGTTTTTACGCTTCACACGCATTCTCGCTCAATTTTTCACTGTTTATAACTTAATTCTGTCACTCTCACGCTCACGCTCTCAAATTCGCTCTTGCTCTCGCTCTCACTCTAACTTTATGTGACTTAATTTAGGAGTCCTATATTATAAAGTAATCTATTTTCAAGTTTAATTTTTTACTTTCGTTAAATTAGGCAAAATAATTACACATGGATTGAAAATAATTATTTAGGTTTAAATTTTCCCAACTTCTTATTTTAAAATACTAAATTATCTTTCTAAATTAAAAAATATATTCACTCAATAAATTCAGCAAAATAACAAAACTCATTATCAGGAATTCCATTTGGTTTCTGTAAAACTGAAGGAGGATTTGCAAATCTTTGTCTTTTATTGCACCACAAGAAATCGAATTCATTACAACAAATTACAAAGTTAGCTTTATTTTATAGAGTATACACTCTCTATATATACATATACACTAAGATTACATATATTTACATATAATTTTGGGTCTTCTTTATCTATAGAATAATATTTTCATTTTCTAAAGCAAAAGACTTTGTTTAAGTTTGTTTTGAGATGAAATTGTGTGCAAATCATTTGTTCGGTTAAATGCCCTATTGAAGAGACTAAACATTCTTTCAAACCATTAAATATTACGTAGTAATAGGATAATATGACTTTATTGGTGCATGCAATAACTCTTTTCATGGCTTTATAGTAAAGAGGATCAATTTATTGAGAGTGAAATTTAAGCACAATCCATAGATAAAAACCGCCAATGAAAATTCCTTAATAATTAAGGAAAGTTTCGGATTTTGAAAAGTTGAGTACAAGTAAACTCCCAACAAATTCATCAATGAATTATTTAATTTAAGAAAATTATTTTCAGTCCATCCGTAATTATTTTATCTAATTTAATTAAAGTGAAAACTAGACTTTAAAAATAAATTCTACTCATTATCATATTCTGTGAAATATGGGTTCACATCGACCTACATACGGGGAATTAAGTCTGAACAATTATCGGTAACAATTAGATTGTAGTGATTGGCAGATTGCATCTCGGTATTTTAATGTGAACTTTATGCTTGCATTGACTGCTTTCCTTGTTTTATTGTTTTGACAATGTACCATCGTTCAATTTTCTTCGTAGTACTTCCTCGAGAACTGGTGAAGACGCATACACACAAAACCAAGAAATAATTTAATATATATATATATGTATATAACCATCTAAGAAATTCTTATAACAATATATGCATGCAGAAATCAAAAACATTTTTTTAAAAAATTATGGCACTTGGTAGCATTGACATGAACAAGGAAGTCATGCCACAAACATCAAACCTAGTTATTTACATTAAACCTAAACATCAAACGATAGGACATGAACATAAAATAAAAAATAAATAAATAAATAAATAAAATATTCAAAATTAATTATTTGCATAATTATTTATTACAAGGATGGGTTTAAAGCATTCACTGAATTAGACAAATATAAACTTTAATTAATTTTTTTTTTTTTATGCGCCAGAGGTAAAAAATTCGAAGATGATATGTAAAGATTATTTTATTGTATGTGTGACTACTCTCTTATTCTATATTATTCCAATCATTTTTTTTATTTTTTATTTTTAAAAAACACATTATTTCTGTTGGCCAAGGAAAGCTATGATATAGCACTTGTTGGTTCCAAATATTTTGGCTGAGAAAATTAACCTTCTAAGATATAAAATAAACGATAAAAAAAAATCAAGGACAGAGAGAAAAAACCACTAGACAAACTTTCACCATATATAGAAGAGATTCGTACTGAAGTCAAACACCTACATTTTATTGTCAGTATTTTTCAAACCTTCTAATTTACAGAGTATATGTTGTACAAATGCATATGGATGCATACACACACACACACACACACACAGCCATGAGTGAGATGTAAAGACTGTTGATTTTGTGGTGGTGGATGTGAAAAAATTGCCTTTTGCAACTTTATTGGGGACAGAGTTTAGGGTTTCTGCAATTTCTATTTTTGAAGATTTACATAGAAACAATAATAGGAGAGATGAGTGAAAAAGTAGAAGGAGGTGGTGGGGAAAGGTGCTGATTGAGATGGTGAAGGTGGAGACGGCAGTGGCGAAAAGGGAGGTGGTGGAAGGAGATGGTGAGGTGTTTTGGGGCTTTCAGTATATTTTTATTTACTTATTCAGCATATGGAGGGTAAATTGGTAAATTTATATAAAATGGTAGGAGCCATTTGAATTGTTAACTCTGACAGGGGTGTCAGAGTGATTTTGTAAAAACTTTAATCTAATAGTAATAAGCTTAAACCTTAGGGGACTTGAGAGTAATTTACCCTAACTGCATTTAGTGCTTGATTTTGAATATTCATGATAACATATGTTTATAGTTTGCATGATTACAGCTTTTAATTGTTGCGGATTTGTAATCACATTTACTATTGTTGAAGCATAAGGCATATGAAAGGATTTATGAGCATTAAATTAACCTAATCCTCCAAGTTGATATATCAAAATTCCATTTTATATAAATTTTAGTAAACATGTTCTCAAAAATTCCCAACTAAAATACGGAAACATATTTGTGCGCATTGATAGACATATTTGTTTGTATCTCTCTGCAATAAAGGACAATCCATACATGATATAATACTATACGTCCTGGAGATTGTAATTGCAAAAACTTGTAAAGATAATAAAGCCCTAATCCGCTTCGATTCTCAAGAATTGTTACTCTTTGTAATCTCCATGTATATTATATATATATATATATGTACAGGTGGTATGTAGATGGATTGATGGTTACGTTTTTTGGAGGCAGGTGAATATGGGTTTCTCTTTGAATTGATTCCACTTCGTTACTTTGTATTGTTTTCATCATTTATTACTAAACTCAATTACCAACTCTCAATTTAACAAACCCTAACAGAAAACTCAATTGTTATTATATGTGAAAAATGTATTAATTAACGGGTTAATATATTTTTACATGACTAATTTTTATTTTTATTTATTTTTTACTAAAAACTTACCAATCATGTTTTTTGTTTATCCTTTATAAAATTAAAGAAATAAATAAATATTATCAAACAAATAACTGTTTTTTAAAAAACTATTTTGATGTTTACAAATTTGTGTTGCATAGCTAATTATTCTTTATATGCATTATTTTCGTCACCCTTAGATTTATTTAAGTCCCGCATCACTGATTCACTATGATGATGAAAAGCATATAGATCCACCAAAATTTACGAATGATGAGTCATTTGACATTCATTTTCATTGCGAAACTAATGTCAAAATTTAAGTTGTAAAAATAAATGAATAATCAAATAAATAAAAAAGTTAAGATAAGGAAATATTTTCACTCCATCTCTTCAAATTCCGTTCGATTCCTTTACTCAATGCTTATCTTGTCTTCATGGAATTTTTTTATTTTTTTATTTTTTTTACACCCTTGCAAACAAGCAATAACAACCCAATCAAAACCCACAATCTTTGGCTGCTAGGGCAAGAATATCAACAAGGAATATGAATCAAAGCAGTAACATGTGTAATGTACTGACGTGAAAGCTGGGCAAGAGCATGGGCGACCCCATTACCATGTCTAAGCACATGGCTAAGTCGAGAAAAGGTGAATCGCCGAAGAGCCACTCGAACATCGAATGATACGGATTGGGTTTCAGCCGGACCACAATCATTTCCATTAACTGCTTGGACCAGCAACAATGAATCGCATTTAAACCAAACCCGGGCATGGAATGAAGTTCAAGCCCAAAGAACTGTTTTACGCAGACACATAACCTAAACCAAAGTAGCAGAAGAAACGTGGAAGGGAGAAAAAACCATTACCTGCAAAACAGTTCCCCTAGAATCTCTAAAAACAGCACCCAACAGCACCCCTGCCTACAACCTGGGTAACAGATGAAAATGAAACATCCACATTACATTTAACTATACCTTCTGTTGGAGGCACCCAAATGGACGGGGAAGGATGGGGATGCAAAAAGGACGAATACCCGAATGGAGTAGAATTCAAAGCAAGACCTGTGAAAGTAGAAGCTTCCTTAAACTCCGAAAAGGAAGAACAAGCCAACGAAACTACCTTAGATGGATCAAAAAGTTACCCATCAAAAGCAAACTTATTCCGAGCCTTCTAAATACCCCAACAACAGAAGGCCACCAAACTTAAAACAGCCCGATCCTCATCCTTTGACACCAATATCCTCTGTAAGTTCATCCACCAATCTGCAAATGATGAAGGCGGCGCCATCGAGAAATCAAACCTTAAAGACAATAATTTCCAAATCTGCATAATATGAGGACAAAGGAAAAACATATGTTTTAAAGATTCCTCCTCAATACCACACCTAGGGTACACAACATCAATAACCATCCCATGGACCTTGAGAAGTTGGCGAACCGGTAACACAATATTACAATATTTCCATAAAAAATGCTGTAATTTTGGAGGGATTTTACATTTCCATATACTGCTCCAACTAAATTGTTTTCGGGACACAAGAGAGGTAGCATCCTGAGAGCGGACCTCACCTTGCTGCCCCAATCAAGTAGCCAGATAATATGCTGACTTTACCGAAAACTTACCATTAGGCTCGCTATCCCACCCCAATTTATCTTCCATGGAAAAAAAACTGAAAAGACAC